CAAACAGGCTGGTTCCTTTAGTTTGAATGTGTGTTTGGTGGCGTGATCATTATTATTTAGAGTCATTGCGTGCCTATTGATTTGAACACGATCCGTGTATCCATCATTTCCTGGTCTTCTCTAAAGAAGAGGGACCAATGAAAACGTTGTCATGTTGCCGTTGTTCAGCATGGAAACATTCATTAGCTAACAATGACATTATTGTTCTATTAATATAAAGGGAGGTCAGGTACTCTTTAAAACAGCTGCTAGTTATGGGTACTTTTTACTGAAGTACATTTCAAACCCTCTTTACTTTTACTTGAGTAAAGAAGTTTAGTCAGTACTTCTACTTTCACCAGAGTATTTTTAAACACGAGTATCTGTACTTCTACTTGAGTAAAGGATGTGTGTACTTCTGCCATCTCTGCTAATGCAAACTTGGGAAAGTGTCATTAAAAGTCTTCAAAATCTAACTTACTATTTTAATAAACACTCTCTGCTGAAGTATTTAATTTGATTAACCATCTAAATAAAGTTAGTCAAAAAGAGTACTTGGATAAATCTCGCTGTCTTTAAAAACTTGTATAAATCAGAGGATAAGAAGGATTGTAACTTCCCTGCAGCATCATGTCCAAATACTCCACGTGGAAGGAAACCAACTCAAACAGTTTCACATCTAACCAAAACTATTCTGCAATCACAGGAAAAATGTGTTTCCTGCATCACGGCGATATTTAGTTAAGCCCCGGAAACATTTATAAACTTTAGGAGAACAAATCAGTTTTAATGGCACGGAATAAACAGTTATTCTTAGACAAGACAACAAGAAGATATTCTTCCAACAAACACCATTTTCAATATATGTTTATCCTACATACTTCTAAGTCTAATAAATCTACTTCAATTTCTATGAAGCAAAATGGCTTAGCTTCTGGGTATAACATCTGCTTTTTTTTTATTCCCGTTTTTAAGTGTCCATTGGAAATAGTCCTTATTGGCCCAATGGCGTCATGTGACACGCCCCGAAGATTTAGTTTTGAAGGAAAGCTGTGTGTCTGTATTTGCTTGTGAAATATAGAATCAGAAATCGTTTTACGGTGTTACAGCAAAGGGGAAAGTGCAGATAAAAGGCTAAAATAATGAAGAGACGAGCACACATTGATCAAATTAAAATGAAATATGGACACCTCATGGTAGAACTTGAGTAGCAGCACTATAAAGAAGTAAGTAACCGGATAAAAGGATCGAAGTAGCAGCCAGTAATATCAATAACACATTGTAAAAGTAATGTGTTTATTGCTCATAACAGGAGAACATGTTAAGGCAAATACGATAAGTTTGCTTGAAATGTAAAAATAATCGTTGTCTCTTTTTGGTTTGTTGATTTTCTTACGTTTTGTCATCAGTGTAGGTTTTGGTGCTTTATAATGTTGTGTATTTTTGAAGAATATTTCATCGTTTGTATTAAACCTGTTCGTGTCTCCACAGCCGGGTGTGACGTGTGTCGGGAAAGAAGACGTCTCTGAGAGCAACGCAGTGAAGGTCTCCTTGTCCACAGCCGATTGTGTGAGTATCAGTTCAATCTCCTTTACCTCCCACTCTACCATGTCACTGTAAAAATAGAATATATGTATATAAAGCTTTATCTAAACACACTGGGGTCCAGAGGAAGGGGCTTCCTCCACTCAGAGGGGGAGGATGGATGTGTTTTTAAAAGAGCTACAGTAGGAAATATGGCACTGAGACATATGAGACATTCCTCAGGCGTAGATCTTCAGACAGGCCGGACACAAAGAGGAGTTTCCTCTCCGGGGTCTTTAGACGAGGGACATCCAGGGTGTGGGGGCTTAACCGTTTTTATTTTATTTGTTATATTCTGCTTCTTGTGGTGTTCCATCGACTCTAGTGTGTTATATGTTTTAGTGCATGGACATGGTCTGCAAAGGATAAAATCCCTGCTCCAACACATGATATACGTGGTCTCCCTAAGTGGTTGACCAATCACAACAGAGCCGACCAGCTAACCAATCAGAGCAGACTGGGCTCTGGTTTCAGACAGAGGGTGAAGCACAGGCAGTATGACAAAAATAAAGAGCTTTTTGAACATTAAAGCATGGAGACATGTCCCAGTAGAGACATACTGATATGATTCTGAAAATGAGCAGAATATGG